GATAAGTAAAATTTTACCGTTTTGCGATCAAAATACTGCTCCTCTAGTACTTGAAGTTTTTTCTTCACAAGCCTCAATAACTCAAAGTTGACCTTAAATCAATGTTCTCATGATGTGCCTTTTATATTCTAAGTTTTATGCAGACTGTGCAAGTTAGCCGTGTTTTGATTTTTGCTGAGACTTAAAAATCAATTTTCTTTCTTTGTTTGGCTTGTAGGACTACTGTTTAGTCTGCCAATTATTGGGATCGGAGGTCGATATCATCCCTATTTAAATAATCTAACATGTCCCGGGTAAATACCCAAAAACTGGGTATTTATAATTTGTATTAAAGTTAGAGAAGATTGAGATGTTTTTTTGCAATTATTACCCTGTAAGGATAGTAAAATGATAATAAAATGTGTTAAATAAAATTTCATATGGACACTACTAGCATTTTACTTCTCGGTATAATCACCATAAATACCCAGGTCTGAGCATAAAGCATAAATACCCTGGTCACATGGTTGCACTGGTCCTGACTACTTATAATTTTTTTTTTTTTTTAATTTCAATGATAGATAGATGAATTTATTTTATTGAAAGTGAAGAAAAATAATTTGTAAAGTACCTAATCGTTATTATTTAGAAAAATAGGAAAATTTAACCTAGGAGTGGCCTATGTGTAAACAACTTAAGAAAATAATTAAAATTCAATCTGTAGGATGGCAGGATTTAATAATATTTTTGTTCTAGATCTTTTGTTGGTATCAATGGTACAAGGGAAATTCGCTAAATCGATTAGGCGGGCCAGGTGAAGTAGTTGAAATAGACGAAGCAAAGTTTTGGAAAAGGAAATATAATCAACGCAGGCGAGTGAAGGGTTACAGTGTGTTGGAAGGAAGTGCAGAGAGGTACAACAGAGACTAATCTGCCGCTGGGTTTTGCCTGGCACTACTGTTGTAACCGATTGTTGGAAGTCGTATATTAGATTGCGGGAGTATGGGTTTCTCCAGGTGAAGTCCCACCATTTTGTTGGGTACCCTAGGCCTCCCTAGAGGAATTTCAATTCAAGATAAGTAAGAAACCCAATAACTTAGTTTAGACTCCACTTTTTTTATACAAGGTCGCAGCAAGGATGTACAGACCTAAGTAGGCTATTGAGTGAGGTATGACAGGTCAAAGGTCGCAGCAAGGATGTAGCCAACAGACCTAAGTATTGAGTGAGGTATGACAGTAAAAGGTCGCAGCAAGGATGTACAGACCTATGTATTGAGTGAGGTATGACAAGTAAAAATAATTTTTTTTACGCATGAGTTTAAACGGTAAGAAAGTTGTTAGGACTAAGATATATATTAAACTAAGCTAACCTAACCTTTAACCAAACCTCTCCCAACCTGTCAATTTCTTTAAATCCCATTTGATGACAGAAAAGGCACGTGAGAAAGTAAATTTAAGTTAGGTCGGACTTTATGCAGATACTTGACTGTATTAACATTTTTTTTAAATTAGTCTAGGTTAAATTTAGGAAGGTTAAGTTTAGGATATAATGAACTGACTAACTTAGTTAACTTACTTCCAGATTGTTTTTGCACAATTTAACTTAGGTAAATAGGCTAGTTGGTGAAACACAACAAAATAAGTTAGGCTTACGTGGAACAAATTCAAAAATGATTGAAATTTTTTGTTGTAACGGCAGGCCTAACTTATTAGGCCTTAAGTATTAACCTAAACTTTACCTTCCTACTCTAACCTAATTTCAAAACACTTAATACGGCCAAGAATCTGCATAGACTTAGTTAAACCCCGACCTACCTTCCCCACATGCCTAACTTAACTTAAGAACTGATTAAGTTAAGTAGTCTGCAAACGCAAACGGGTTGTCTTGCTAGCCTAGTGGTTAGCGTCTCGGACTTCGGTGCGGGAGGGACGGGTTCAATCCCCGGCACATCCACTAAACATTTAATCTCTCGTAACTTCTCTTGTGATACGTATTACCGTCCAAACGGGTAGGCCTACAGTTTCTTGACAGGGCTATGCTAATATCAATTTAATCTATCGATTCGATTAGTAAACTTTCATGTGATTTTTTCATTATCAGCAAGGGAGGGGGGCAATGTCCCAATTTTTTCCTGATTTAAGGTGACAACCCTGATGGCCACAGAGTAAATCTAGGATTGGAAGAAGTTCAATGACCAAAAGAGAAAGGATGGGATAAGGATTCAAGGAAACTCCGCTCTGGGTCAATCCATATCAAGTGATCCAGAAATAAAATAATTGGTTGCTTGGCCATTTTTAAAATAAATAATAATTTTATCCTAGATACCTCTATCAATTCTGGGTTCAAAAGTGATTTTAATTTTTTTTTATCTCTTTTGTTACTCCTACGGCGGCCATTTTTGTTTTGCGGAACACGCAAATTTTTGCTCATGTAAGGGTTTGCGTTAACTTGCACAACTCGGTAACCATGAACACTAGAGTGATGAAACAAAAAGCATTTTAATCTGGAAGAAACAGCCTAAATATTATGTTCTGTACATATTTATTGAAATGTGTATCAAAAACAGTTTTAAACCCATCTCAACATTTTATAAGAAAACGGAAAAATTTCAACTTTTGAAGGCGTATTACCATTGGAATGAATAAAATCCCAGACTTGATTTTTTTTTTGTGTGTAGCAACTCAGTAGAACTGTTTGTATTTCAAATATCAACCATGAGACTTAATTCCTTTAAAAGTTATCATTTTTCAAAGACTGAAATTTTTTGAAAAATTCAAATTTTGAGTCTCAATATCTTTGTTGGGACAAAGTTTAAAAATCTGAAATTTTTACCAAAAACCCCTCTTATGGTTTTTATACTGCTGTATGAATTTCATCTTTGAGATTTACTTTTAAGCTAAGTTTCAGTATCATGAAAATCACAAAAAAAAACCCATAAGCTCGGCCAACGTGGCTAGTACTGTAGGTAGCTTAAAGATTAATGTTAGGTGCTTCGTAACCTCACTAGCAACTGAAAGCTGTAAAAATTACACTTCATACCGAAGACTCTATTGCATTTGTGTATGACAGTGGTGGGTGGCAGAGGTGATTGACATCAGTTATCAAAATAAAGATCCAGCAGGACCAACAACCAACCGCCTTTAAAACAAATTAGAAAGACCAAGCTTGGGTGCCTATAAACAAAGTTTTGAGAAAATTAAATCTCTTTTAACTGACAAAAACCACTAGAAGGACAAACCCAAACCGAATGAAGAAACATCCAAACTTCCTAAGCATGATCAAAGTAGAACAAAAAACACTAACAAGTAAAAAAAAAAGTTGTATACTTTAAGAACTTGTCTTTCAAACAGCTTTTGTATGTGAAATTTATAATATTCTTTATTAAAATGAAAGTGGTTCAATAAATTAATAAATGAGTTCAAAATATTTAGGCCTATTGAAAAAAAAGGTGTAAACCTGAATAAAAATAATCTGATAAAGTTTTTTTTTAATTTCACATAAGACAAGAAATTTGCAAGAAAAGGCTATACATTACTTCAAAGTAAGTTAGGTAAGTTAACATTAAATAAAATAATTACCTACACCTACAAATTAATTTTTAAGCTACCTACAGTACTAGCCGCGTTGGCCGAGCTTATGGGGTTTTTGCGATTTTCATGATACTGTAACTTAGCTTAAAAGTAAATCTCAAAGATGAAATTCATACAGCAGTAGCCTATAACAACCATAAGAGGGGTTTTTGGTAAAAATTTCAGATTTTTAAACTTTGTCCCAACAAAGATATTGAGACTCAAAATTTGAATTTTTCAAAAAATTTCAGTTTTTGAAAAATGATAACTTTTAAAGGAATTAAGTCTCATGGTTGATATTTGAAATACAAACAGTTCTACTGAGTTGCTACACACACAAACAAAATCAAGTCTGAGATTTTCTTCAAAAGTTGAAATTTTTCCGTTTTCTTATGAAATGTTGAGATGGGTTTAAAACTGTTTTTGATACACATTTCAATAAATATGTACAGAACATAATATTTAGGTTGTTTCTTCCAGATTAAAATGCTTTTTGTTTCATCACTCTAGTGTTCATGGTTACCGAGTTGTGCAAGTTAACGCAAACCCTTACATGAGCAAAAATTTGCGTGTTCCACAAAACAAAAATGGCCGCCGTAGAAGTACAGTAACAAAATAGATAAAAAAATTTCAAAATCACTTTTGAACCCAGAATTGATAAAGGTATCTAGGATAAAAATATAATTTATTTTAAAAATGGTCAAGCAACCCCTGTTGGATCACTTGATATGGATAGACCCCTCTGCATAATGTAGCCTACTTGATATTACAAGGACTTAAACCTTAAGTAACTTATCAGTCTTGTGAGTACCTAGCGTTCTTCATTAACTTAGTAGGCTAGGCCTAGGGCAGACTTATGTATTTGTTGGCACAAACAACCGAATGAAAATAGCCTATCAATTAGGCCTATTCAACTGTTTCATTCGCTATATCGTTAGGTTAGGTTAACCCTTAAACCTAAATAACCAATCGATAAATCGATCGATATTTTCATTTGGTTGTTTGTGCCAACATATGCGTAAGTCTACCCTAACTTAGGCCTAGGCTACACAATAAGGACAGACCTGTGGATTGCAAAATAACAAGCAGGTCTATCTTTGTCACGAGTTAGGCCTATTTTGGAACTGAGAGCCTAACAACAATCAGTTTTTTGGAACTAAAAAATAGACTTACAATAATCTAGGCCCAATGCTGGCTTGCAAGTTAGGACAACAGGACAACATTGTACTCCATTTCTTATCTAAGGCTATGCCTAAGTTGCCTAACTAAGACCTAAGTTGTGATACATGTCAACACATGGGCTTGAGACAAAGTGAAATCTTATTAGCCAGCCAGCGCACATACAAAACCTAGGCTACCAGTACCTTTGTAAAGAGATGTTTACCGATTCACCCGGAAGCTAGCCTATTCTGTTGACACAACATTTAGGCCTAATCCAATCCTGAACTTACCTAACGAGCAGCATTAATTTCCTTTTATGGTTGGCTAGGAAGGTAATGAAATTGGTTTCTTACGGTGCAACAATTAATTTTAGTTTAGTTCGTCTAACTTAGTATAGGCCTGGCCTATAAAATAAATATGTAATTAATTACTAATTAACCTCTTCCTCAACCTGTGCCTGTGAACCTTTCTTCTCTGTCTGTCTTAGAGATGTCGAGATGTGTCGCTGCGCTGCAGCTCAGCTGGAACTACATTTATCTACCGTTCCGAGAGTGGAACTCGTTCCACCGTTCCAAGCGGAACCACAATCCAGTTCCAGTTCCACTGGAACTACTTTTTCGGCTGCAGCTCGGTGGAACGATTTGAATGTAGTTACGCATAAACAGCTGCAGCCTGTTTGTAAATTTTTAAAGATAAGTTCCGGAGTAACTGGATTTGTAAAACACATACAGTTACAACAAAACAGCTGCAGCTGGTTTATTAATACTCTCACTAAACATTGAAGTTCTAGCCTGTGCAGCTGATGCGTTTTGACTTATTTGGTTTATTGTAAACAAAGGTTTGACTAGCGGATATGGTTGACATGCCTTAAAAGAAATGAATCATTTTCTGTTTTTTTTTATTTTTTTCAGGCAGGAATTAAATAAAAGTACATCAGTCCCAGTTAAGTCGTGCTCATAATATATACAAATTTAATTATCTCTTCCTCAGTAATCAGTACCGTATTAATTGTTTGTGTTTAACTTAATTCAGGATTTTTTCGCTATTAACTTTAGAATTTTATATAGAGTTAGTGTAAGTGGTGTTTGAATAATATTATTTTTTTAACAATAAAAAATGTATAATATGAATAAATGCATAATATGAAGAACCTCTAAAATAATTTATACCGATCTTGTCACGTATTATTTTTAGACCTTAGATAGACAAACTAAAATTATTAATTACTTGTACAACATTTCCAAAACACGATATTGATTTCTTTACAGCCGCTTTTTTTGCATTATTTAAAACAATATTCTAATTCAAGAACAGCTTAAACTAATCCGTCTCAAATTATGGCAATAAACCGAGATTTTGTTCATCCGCCCTTTTGCCTCGTTCCACTACAGCCATAGCTCCGCTGCAGCGGGACCGGGAAAACCAGCTGCAGCGGCCAAAACCAGCTGCAGCTGGAACTGCTTTTGGAACGAGTTCCACGGCGACCTTGGAACTAGCTGCAGCTGTTTCGCCCAAGTAACTGCTTGGCACATCTCTAGTCTGTCTGTACTGGTTTTTTTCAGTGTTAGTGTTGTTAGTTGTGTACTCGACGTTCTGTACCCACGAGCTACTCAGCTTCCACACTTGTAATGCGAGAGGAATGCACTGAAGGCCTTGGAACAGTTCCTGGGATAACAGGTATTTGCGTAATAGCTTCACTGTATATCTTTATTGGACCTGTTTAGATAGTTGTTTCTTTCAGCAGTTGCAGTTGCGAACTGTGCAGTGCATTATGATTAGATTAGGTACTCGACGTTCTGTACCCACGAGCGTCTCAACAGCTGTTTGTGACGATCGTGAAGACAGCTATCGCCAAGGTTAGTAGAGAGCTATCGCCAGCTATCGACCCTACATTTTCCCCCCTCCCACAACGATTTCCTCTCGTCACCCTCTCGACCAATCAGATACCGGTACGTTTGAGCAGTAAAGTCGATGCACAAAAAAAGACCACGCATTTGAATTTACCTTCTACGGATGGTTATTAGTTTTCCGAACTAAAACTAATAACTATGCATACGTAATATTATTATGCATAAATATGCATTTTTATGTGTAATATTCTTCTTACATTACATTTTAACAAATATATTCAACATATATATATATATATATATATATATATATATATATATGTTCTCAGCGTTCTAGGAGTGTTTGGACGTACTTAAAACTATGTTGAAACGGGAACGCGCCAAGGCGCCACCACGTCAACCCACCACCAAGTCAAAAAGAAGAAGAAGTTTGAGGTGGCGGGTTTACGTGGTGGTTGTCGGGGTGGCACGTTGACTCTAGCGTGCACGACAACCCGCCACCTCGGAAAATGTGTGGTGGCGGGTTGTCGTGGTGGCACGTTGTCCTGGTGGTGCTTAGACATGTTCATACACGTCAACCAGCCACCTCTTTAGTGTGGTGGTGGGTTGACGTGGTGGCTGGTTGACGTCTACGTGCGAGGTGGCGGGTTGACGACACCGAACATTGAGCGTACACGACAACCCGCCACCTCATAAAATAGTGATGGCGGGTTGACGTGGTGGCACGTTGTCGCTTACAAGCGAGGTGGCGGGTTGACGAGAGTTAACATTGGGCGTACACGACAACCCACCATCTTTGTTGGCAAAAGCCGCTGTTGTCTGTGTATTATAAAATGCATCACTTTTTGCAGTTTACCTGGACTTGTGTTATCTATAGTTTACTGTTAAGTTAACTAGACATTAGTTATTGTGAATTCATTAATTTTCGAATCGTTTTCCTAAAAAGATCTGCCATAGAAATAAAGTACACGCGCATCCACGCAAGACAATTTTTCCTTTTAATCAACGGTTATTGTTTTAAAAAAATTGTAAGATAAACTCATTACAAATTAACGACTTAGGGTCATTCTAGAATTAAAATAACAATATTTGTTATGTTTTCGCATATTTTTATTGAAGACAAAAACATGAAACTTTAATAATTTTGAAAAATAAGTTATTAGTTGCTTAGGATTTTTTGTAGGTGTATACCTGGTATAATATAATACCCATAGGTACTTATTTTCTTTTTCAGCATTATGACAATGAATTACAAAATAAGTTACCTAACAACTTCATCAATTAATTGTAATTCACGTGTGTATGGCCTACACAAAAATTATGAAAATGTATTGTTCGGTTATAATTTCTCTTAAAACCGTATTGTGATGCGTATTGTGGTGGAAATAGTAATACATTCAACCAAAAACATAAAACAAAATATACATCGTTGATGCAGAGTACAACAGACTAAAATGTACTTTGTGTGGACTAGCGCGCACCTGTTTTTCTATTTAGAAGAATTTGAGAAAGCATACAGAACTAGACTCGACCCAACCGGTAACGTACTTTGACCTCTTGAGTCAAGGGTATTGCCCAGAGAAGTTCATACCAGACAGATATATTCCAAAAATCTCATTAGGAGATACCTTAAACCAAGATTTCTATTGAATTTATCATGCTCTGCTTGAAATTCCATTTCATGATACTGGAAATACCGTACCGTTACTTTGGTATTATTCGGAGGCCACTTGTTTTCTAGAAGGATTTTTTTACCTATGACAAAAAAAAACACTTAATTAGAAAGAACATACTTTAATTAGCTTACTGTCCAATTATGAAATTATTGCAATTGCAATTAGTGGTTTTTGAGTTCTGCCTCCCTGAAGGATTTTGATTGAGTTGAATGCGTCACCCCCTAGCTGCCACACGAACTCCGCCGAGTAGATACTGAGTAAATACTGCTCGCTGTAGCAATGTTAGGTTGGGTTTCCTCGTTTCATTATGAATCTAACAATACAACATGAGTGACGATACCTGAGATACAGGCGGTGACAGGTGATGCGCGCGCTCCGGCCATTGGTCAACGACCTGACCTTGGCCTACTTGGAGGGGATTTGGCGATAGTATGACTCATCTGGTATCATTCCATCCATAACGAAACTAAGAAAGTTCTATATATTTATGATAACCCAACCTAACATAACCGCCGCAGCACACTGTATAAGGGTATGGCCCCCTGATAATATCAAAGTAGCATTAATACCGTACTTTTACTCTTGGCACAATGGGTTCGGGGCATTCCACTAATTTACTATTGAAAATTGTATGAAATAATTGATTCATATTTAAAAGTATCTTTACTAACTAAATTAAATATGTGTACAACTTGTAAACAAATCAAATATGAACAATAACAATTATCACATAATAATGACATCTATCTATCCATCTATCATCTAATAAATCTATCTATACTATTATAAAGAAGAAGGTGTTTGTGTGTTTATATGAGATAAACTATAAGCTACTGAACCGATTGGACTCAAATTGGACAAAAATCAAGCTACCGCTCCGAGGATTAGAACTACCCCCACTTCGATATTGATCTGCTCCACGGGCTTTCAAAATTCTTAGGAGAGGGATTTTTAACTTATTTAATACGCAAGCAGGTTTTCTGTGACATTTACTCCTCCGAAACTACTAAACCGATTGGCATGTTTTTGGTGTCATTTGGAAAGAGCGTAACGTGAAGTTGTGCAGGAAACATGGAAATAATTAGGGTGAGGCCCTGGGGCCCTTTACAGGTTCATATTTCTCCATAAGATTCATGGGAAACAGACATTGTTATGTAACTCCAGCTGTTGTCAGAAATTAAAAATGAGAAGAAGAACATATGGTAATTGTAAACATTATGTAATTTACACAACTATGTGGTAGGTTTATTTATGCAATTGATTATTGAAATGAAGAAAAATTCTATAACCATAAGTTATGAAATTATGTTATTGATATATTTTAATGTAAACAGTAGGGTAAATACAATATAGGGCATACATTTTTGTAAAAATTTGATTGCTATTTGTTTAAAAATTCAATCTACTTAACAAGTGTTTGGATTAGGCAGTATGGACTTTTGGTACATCTTCCCGTTGCGAATTACGGGCACAGCAGCTAGTTCCGTTTATTCACTAATTGTAAATCAATTATAACGTAAAGATATAATTGACAGTTGGTAGGAAGATGATTACACTAAAAACAGGTCGCCAATTGTTTTCAGATAACGTATTATCTCGTCACATTATTGTATTTGGTAAGTGACGTTTTAGTACAATTTTAAAGAAACGTGTCCAATATCATTCAAAACAGTGATTTGGATTGTTTTGTCTAAAAATCTTTCAAAAAGTATAATCCGACGACTAATTAAAATAAATTAATACAAGAAATAGAATAGTTTTATCAACAGCAGAATATTAGTTTGGTTCTCTTTTGTGATTACTACGTGAAATGAAAACAGTATTTAGGTTGGAAATTAAAGGACAATCGCGATCTCGCAACTACGGGAAAGTGAACTGACCTGAGTGACCCGACACCTCAATAACTGGAATTAGGCCAGTAACATTCACATCAACGTGGGTTGATGTG